AGAGAGAGAGAGAGAGAGAGAGAGAGAGAGAGAGAGAGACTGCCTTGTATAGAGTCGTCATCCAGACAAGGGGATAGTGCCCACTGCCAAGTTCCTAACTTAAGATAAACACGAGCAGCGAAAGGAATACTCGAGGTACCCATTAATCCGGACTGCATGGATTGTTCAAAACCAGGCATTCTTGAGAAGTCAACACCCAAATCCTAAAACAAAGAAATTGCAGATGTAATGAACTTAAAACGGAATATACAATAATCAGCAACGTATCGAGAAGTTCAACGCTTCAAAAAAATTAAAACTTACCTTTAGTCTTGCGAAAGCTTCTTGGCGTCTATGATCCTCCCCGAGTGACCATTGATATTTCAAATAAGCTAGAATAACTTGAGGGTCCCCAATATAACGTTCAGTTTCAGGGGTTGATTCTGGATCAAACTGCTTATTACACAAAAGACTATATTCAGCACAGACGAGTGATAGCATAATAATATTTTACCAGTCATAAAAAATTGATATGAATAGCATACCTGTAATAGTTCAGTCAAACTTGATCTAGCTTGGCTAATTCTACCACTTTTACGGCAAAGAGAGGCGAACTTTATCCATGTCTCTACATCTTCTGTAGGTGGAAGCACAAGTGACCTGACAGACAAAAGGGCTTGCCAAACCTGAAAATTTTAAGGGTTGAGAGTAACGAATGTATGCACAATTGCAGATTAAGTAATTGCAGGTAAAAGCATTCGCATGGGAATGCAGAATGTGGCAATAAACCAACCTCACGTCCCATCAACACTAACAAGACAATCTACAGACTACAAGAACTCCATGAGGTAGAGCAAAGTGAAACGTCAAACAAGAGTGACACAATGAGATAAATAGGCATTTTGAAGCCAAAGACAAACCATTGGGGCCATTTCCAGTCTAGCAGCTGGTTCAGCAGGTGCCCAATACTCCTTGCAGAGTTTGTTGAGCTCTTCCCATCTAGCCAGTGCAGCAAGGCATCTCATTTGTCCTTGTGCATATAAAAGGAGAGAAAAAAATCAACATAAAAGTGTACAAAGAGTGGATAGAAAAGAAAGAAAGAGAGGGAAAGAGAAAGAGAAGAGAAACTACGGATTGCCATTCTCAAAGGAAAAGAATATATGTAATACTAATAGGCATGGAAGCAGCAATATAAAGAAGTACAGGTTAGTTACTATAAATGAACTCAGATAGTTACTGTCTTGCTGTAAATGGACTTAATAATAGCATAAAATTTACTTTAAAGCATACTACACTAGAGTAATGAATTAGCTGAAATAACTCCCCATATGAACAGAGAAAAGAGGCACGAAAGCCAGAAGAGAATTGACCATCCAGGAAACCAAATGCATTTAAAGTATTTGATTTTTCAGATAAAAGGATGTGTGGTTTTTCTGCTTTGAAAAAATATTCCATTCATCAAATTACAGTGCTAACCAAAATATTCTTCGGTAAATGAATCTGAAACATAGAATGACCTGCACTTCTAGCAATAAATCGTCCTTCCATTTGTAAATTAAACCATAAAAGGAGTTATCCAATTTGAAACACAATAACATCCACTTAATTTACAGTATGCACCTAGTGTTGCTTCCAGAATAAGATGTTGGCTTGATACTTCAGAGGCTTTGACAGTGTAAGAGCATCATACCATCTCTGGAGTTTCTCATACCTTGGCAAACACAAGTTCACTTGAGTGACTGAATGTGAGCAGAAATATTATTATGGAGTTGACTCGTTATTTCCTTAACACACACAATTACCAGATTGCCAATTCTGAAGTTTAATGGCATTGGCATTTTGGAACAAAAAGCATTATCATTCAAACTAAACAACCAACAGAAAATGTTGAGAGTTGCGAGGATTAATGAACCATGATTCCTTCAGTTGAACACTCAAATGTTGTTGAGAATATGTCAATATCCCAACTGCCGCCTGGATAAAAATTAAAACTTCATTCACATCATGAGCGTAGTTCTTTATTCATAAATAAATAAATAAATATACAGAACTTAAACTGCAATAATAAACAACCTCATGTTGGTGCAATTGATTATTGATATGAATAAGAGCTTCCACTATAGCAACAGGGTTGCCATCCATCATATTTGAGCATGCACCTTCAAATTCCATCTCTTTATAGTGCAGAGCCTTTGCAAATGCACGACACTGAAATATAAGAATAGTGAGAGTTTCATATCATATACTTCAGCATAAACAAATGCTCACGGAGTGTAGATGCTCTCACGAAAATCCCACCTTTTCTGCAAGGGCACCCAATAGACGTATATCAATGGGAAAGGGTCTCTCATCGTGCTCCATAAACTCAGCCTGAAAAAATCAGTCTAAAAGTTGATTGGCAGAACAACATTAAGTTTTTAACTTTTCAATATTACAGCTAGATACTTCGTATTAATTATAAATGCTCAAAAGTCTGCCAAGGACAACAATCAAAGGTAAAGCTCTACATGCGAAAGGATGCAGCGATAAAAAGTATGTACTTAGGTTGTCCTTGCTTGTTTAGTTGAGTAACATAGCATTTCATCTTAGCAGTTAACTCTAAAACCATAGCAAAGTGCTTATTTACCAATAGTATTTATCTTTTTGAATGGCCAGAAGTACATCGAATTACATAAAAATATTCATCTGAATCCGCATGTAATTCATTCCTACATACCAAGTTCAAAAGTATGGCAAGAATTTCAGGAGGAATGTTTGGAGATGAAAATGCCATTTCCAAACTGCGCACTAGCTGTCTTCGGCAAGATTCGTTCAGCTCTGTCCAGCAACTGACAAAACCAACTGCGAACAACTCCCGTCCAATAAAAGGCTGCAAAAACAAAAAATAGCAATATAATTCTTATCACCAAGAATCATTTTATTCAATTATGCCAAAGAGCAATAGAAGTAACGAAATTACTTGGAGTTGGGCAAGCTTGGCACATGTTCTCAGAGCAGGTGCAGGTGATTCCTTCAATAGTTCAATGCTAAAATGTCTCATCCACTCTGTCCAATCCTCTCTCGTACTGCGTTGAGAGGCTTCCCCTGCAGAACGTATTCGGCCCTCATTAACCTAAGAAAGTCGTAAAACCAATTAGATTTTCAAAATTATCTGTTAATAAAAATATAAAATAAACGATGTTATCATGTCAAATAACACCAACAATAAACAACATCCTCCTAGTTCAGCATCACTAAAAAGTTTTAACACGAATTAACTATATTTCTTATGGCTTGACCAACAATGTGACGTTATCAGCTCGTACGTGCTAAAATTTTAAAATCAAGTGACTGCACTGTTTTATCTAGTTTAAGAACAAAAATAATATGACATACCTTATGAGGCTTATGTGGATCAACTCTACTCTCTGGATCCTCTGTATCATTCAAAGGGTCGCTAATAACTTCTCCAGGAAATTGACAAGTTTGTTCCTGAGCAACCGTCACTAGGATCAATGGGTCCCTTCTTCTGATACGATCTTCAATTTCTTCAAAATCCTTATGCTGGTCAAGGAAGAAAATATGCTTGAAAACCTTAATTAGCCCGATCATCACCTTCACTAACAGTGTATCTATTGGTGGAAATAAAGATATAAATCATACCCGCATGCAATGTTTTAACAAAAGCTTATGGATGGAAGGGATGAAAATAGTGAAGTCTTCCCCAAGGGCATGACTTAGACAACAAAGTGCATCAACAGCATCCTTTATGAGCTCATCATTAAAATTTATACGTACTTTGAGTAAGGTGGAAAGTAAACTAGAACAATTGTCATATACAAGACTCAGCTACTGAATTCAAGCAATGAAACAGGCAAATTTATTGTACATTTCAACCTAAGAACTCTGCTTCATAAAGCTACGTAACTAAGCCTCTCTAAGATGGATTCTACTATATTGGAATTTTCAGGGAGTGCTTTCGGGTAATAGTAAGAGTTCCGTAAAGATGTAAATTAAATGTCCATTTGATAGAAGTAGAAGAGAATGAAAACAAACAGTCACAAATTAGCACATCTCTGAACTGGACTTAGAGAGGACAAGTGATTTCTCCAAACCCTGTACAAAGTGCTTTAAGAAGAATTTTATTGAAGTTCCAATGTAAGAATTACATCTGGATCCAGGTCTGAGCCTATGCTTAAAGTTGAGATGACTTGCTTTCAAGGAAAGAGTAAGGTCAATATGAAGTTCGCTGGTGCATATTATAACAATATAAAATGAGAGAAAAATCCAACCCGTCCAAGACAAGCTTCAAGTGATGTACAAGAGCAGATATGTGACCCGACACCTGGTTAAATAGAACAAATTGACTAAGATTAATT